TAAATTGCAGAGCAAGGAAACCTGTAAAAGAGGTTATTGTGGATAAAGGATTACTGTGACCACAGAGCTCTCTAACCCCAAATAAAGACAAGGTGAAGTGTTATTGTTTGTTCTGCAGTTTTCCCTAAGAGTATGTATAGAGACCTAGGTAACTGCCTTTCAAATACATGAAATAGAAATCTTGCCCAAGCAAGTCTTCAAAGCTTCCATAACTTCAGTGAAATGAGCCTTTTTTTTTTTTTTTTTTTTTTTTTTTTTTCCAAGAAGATGGTTCTTCATTACCTGCCAATTGTTTTTCTGTCTGGTAAGTAGCCACATGCTAGTAAATGCAGTGCACATAGTGCTTTAGCAGTCCATTTAAAGGAATCCACTGGGATTCCTTCCTGCTGAGCAGTTCTCTGGAATCCTGAAGGGGAACATTAAAACTGCTATGTATCTTTAAGTTAACAAAACATTTGCGAAGGCAAAAGTTGGAGGAGTTCCCTCAGAAGTGGGTAGGACAACTACAGGATTTGTGGAGAAGGGGACAGGGCAGCGGATCTAAAAAGACAGATCTGTAATATCACATGCCAGGGTGTATAATCCATTCAACGTTCAGACCTTTCCATAAATCTTGGGCTAAGCATTTAGCCTTGGGTTTCAAGGGAAGATTTTTGGAAGCACTTTGCATGAGGTAAAAAAAAAAAATTACCTTCTGTAAAATAAATAAATAAATAATAATAAAAAAATATATCCCTTTTAGTTTTGTGACATGTAAGCTACAAAAATATACCAAATTTATTTAAGTATTGTCCACATAATTTATGCATATTTCCCTTATTAATGTGGAAGTCATGCACCACTACTGCACATTTAGATTGTTTTCCCCTTGCAGTACTGGCCTGTGCTCTGCATCAGCTAATCAGCAGTATGAGGGATACTATGTATGTCAAGTTCTCAAATCCTAGAGGCAGAAATTGTAACAATCCAAGTACAGGAATCTGTTAATCTTTGTAAATAAGGGGCCTAAATTATGCTAGTTAAAATACTTTCTTTCATTTTATGTTTGAAGTATTTTGCAAGAATGCTGGGAAAGAATAAAGTCCACATATCAAAACAAGTTAAGTTTTAACCAGTAGTTCTAAAGCAGAAAATTGGCTTACCAGGCAGATAAAAAAAGGAAACAAAAGAAACAGAGAAATAAACTTGCTGTGACTGAATTTTGTGTCTTTCAGATGAGAAAAATATTTGATTTATTTTATGGATGTTAAAAAAAATGCTTATTTAATTTCACACAGTGAGGCTCCAAATAACAACAAACACTTTAATTAGAAGTGTAGAGTGAGAAGTGTAGTACCCATTAGAGTAAAATAGTTTTAAATACAGCACCGTGAAGATGGAAGAAAAAAACAACCCTATTTTAAAACATTTGTTTAAATGCAAGGCTCCTGTTCTAGGTTACTTATTTGGGTGCATTGTATTTATAGTCCCATGTGCCATATAGCCAAAATTTATTCTTATTTTCTTTCAAAATTTATCATAATCATCTCTAGCCCATATTATTCATTGAACTTGTAACCCAATGTGACATCAAGGATTTTACATTTTTTGCTATATGAGTGTGAGAAGTATTTCAGCTATTCAGACACATACAGTAGATGTTTTTCTGAGTGCTACAGTAATTGTAGTATAGCTCACTCATAAAAGATCTGCTATGCTTATTTTACAACTTTGATGCACAATGTGGAAGCAATAACTATTAAATATTAATTCTTGGGAAAAAGAAAAATAACATTCTCTTTAAGGCAAATTATTTTTTCCATGAGAATGAGGTATAATTTCAGTGATTCACACTAGCACTACATGGAGTGAAAATAAACATGGGAAAGACGGATGCAAAGTATTACAGTAACTGAGCCCTGGTATCATCACCTCCTGTTAATTTATGTTTGCAGAATAAAGTTCATGTTGATTTTAACATGACTTTCTCTTAAAGCATATAATCCAAGGATGATTTCACATCAGACTCTATTGATTTATAGCAAATTGTTTCAATGATTTCTGAAAGATTCCTCTTCTGGTTTTGAAATCAAAATACAAGTATCATCTCCACAGGGAGACAATTTAAATAAAATGCTTGATCACTGGTACTTTAACAAAGAAGAAACAAACAACCCCCAAATAATTAAATAAACAAATTGGAAAACCAGATGAGTTTACTGGAGGAAACCAATGTGCACAAGAAAGCAGATAAAGGTTCAACAGACAAATACTCCTGCAGTAACGTGTATGCAAGTATATAAATGTACACCACACACCAAAGCAAAGTCGTATGTTAAAGAGAAAAGGACTTTTATTTCTTCAGGGGACAATTCCTCACCAAATCTTAAATCATTCAGCATAGTAAACACTGATCTCAGGGAAAAATGAAAGGACTACAACAAGTCAAGATTTGCAAGGAAAAAGTTCTGTTTTAGAAGGATGTCTAACTTTAGCCTTAATAGTAGCAAATGTTAAAACATAAAGCCACACAGCACAATTCAAATCAAACTGATAGCGTATTTAAAATTGAAAATATATTTCCTCCATTAAGTTGAAAAGCTGCTTAAGTATCCAATACCCCAAACACTGTATTGTGCAATATGAATCATCCCAATACAGAACATGTAGTTACAGGACATTATCATCATGAGGGGTTGAATTGCCTTGTCCCAGAGCTATTCCTGTCCTCAACCTAATAAGCACTCTTCCGGTGGGCAGCAAATATCAATCAGAAAATTCTTCCAGGGAGGAAGGAGGATCACTTAAGTGCCCTTTGCTCTGCCACAACAATACAAGTGTCAGTAGCTGGCAGATCTTTTTGTGGGTTTCGTAGGTCAGCACCAAGGTGCAGTAGAATGCCTGTGGGTAGCACACATTCATTTCCTCACGCCTCATTTACTTTTTCATAACCCCAATATGCCAAACAGCTCTTTATGGGCTAGACATTCACCAATTCCTGCTCTTCTCTTAGTTCTAGATAATAATGCTCTTTTATCCAAGCGATACTACTGTTTTCATGTAAAATGTTGGTGGTATTATTTCACTACTTTTTGGTAAATGCTCCAAACTGAATCAGTTCATGCTTCTCATTCTTCTTCTGTTGACAATAATTATTTACTGGGATAAATTTCATATTATTGGTCAAACATGATCTTAGTTCTAGATAATAATGCTGTTTTATCCAAGTGATACTACTGTTTTCATGTAAAATATTGGGGGTATTATTTCACTACTTTTTGGTAAATGCTCCAAACTGAATCAGTTCATGCTTCTCATTCTTCTTCTGTTGATAATAATTATTTACTGGGATAAATTTCATATTATTGGTCAAACATGATAAATATGGATTTACATTCCTGCATAACAATGGCATGCCATGTTTTTATTCCAGGTCTATACATGAGAAACACTACAAAAGGTAAGGGAGTATAGGCAAAGAGAGGCAAATTAGCATGTGTACACAGTAGTTTTGTGGTATCTGATCTAGAGAGTAACTTTTTAGAAGTTGTCTAGAAACACTAACTACGTTTCTTCTCATGTTTAAGCTATCAAATGACCCTCAGAAGTTAAAGGCATGAAGTTAAAAGTTCCCCTTCGAGACTCTGCAGGGAAAAATGTACCTCAGTGAACTGCAGATTGGGGGTTGACGCTACTTCTAGAGCTGCTGGGTTATGACAACCCCCATCTATGCACAGGAATTTAACTACTGCCCGTAAGGACCACTAGAAAAGACAAGAAAAAAAACCTAAACCAAAACAATACCATAGATGGATACACAGGGGAAGCATATAGGCAGAGTGTCTTGAGCCTTACACAGCAGCCCACTGAGCATCCCAGAGATAAGTACATGGAACAGACTGACAACCGGCAAGACAGTTTGTTATCTATATATGACTAAGTGTTCCACAGCCTTGGCATATTGTTTCGTATTTTATTGACAAGTACAGGCAAAGAATTAGAAAAGGAAAAGCAAATGAACAGTTAAATTTGGCAGTTCTGCTTTTAAAAATAATTTTATTATATATATATATATTACAATATGGGCTGAATTAAAAGGATTATGAGTTTAGGCCTAAAGGCTCAGTGAATGCTTATTATCATTATTGTGTTAAGCACCAGTGACATGTTTGGGACTATACTAGACAGCCTCAGCCCTGAGCAATTTAGAGTCTAAACCAGAAAAGGATAAAACAAGGTGTTCTGAAAAATGCAGAGCAATGCTGCAATTTGGAAATCTCCCTACAATATATAAAACAAAATGGAGAAAACTTTAAACTGACAGGGTGGTTTCTGTGAATTTCTTAGAAGAAATGAGTCTCTAAAAAACATCTCAGAAAATAGAGACCTCAAACTGCTATGTTGGCATTAGAGAGCTTTCTGGAAGACGTGGGAAGGAAACAAAAGGCATGGGAATGTCACTGTCAGAACCTGGACATACAGAAGTCATGGTAAGAAATAAGATCTGAAATGTAGTAGGATGAAGTTTCATAATACCAGACTGGCACTGGGACTAGACTGAAAAAGCTTACAAAGAACAGACACACATTTTAGCTACCAGAGTAATTTTTATATGTGATTGGGCATAGCTGCAGGGGGAATTGAGAACTGCAGGTGTATCTCAGGCAGAGGAGAGAGATGAGTCAAAGATGACCGCTAGTGGAGAGAGGTCAATTGAAAAGAAGTAAAGAAGGCAGAACTGGAGGTAATTTAAACTTAAATTCTACAGTGACTAATGACTGAAATAAGAAAGAAAAGCTGTCTCAGTGAACTTTTCTCTTTTGCTTTCAAGATACAGAAAATCCCAAGGGGAAAAAACCATCACTGGCACTAATATTAGTTATCAAAGTAATAATCCCAAGACATTAAAACATTTACATCTTCCCTAATTAAAGAGAACAGGATGCTGTTTATAAGAGCAGCTTATTCTAAAGTATTCCTTACGTTTTTTCCCTACAGGGAAATAGCCTGTAACAGCTACTCCAGAACAGCTATTCCACAGCTGATCCTCAAGTTTGTGCTTTGCTCCCACAGTCAGTGCCTTTTTAGTCCATATTAGTAGTGCCTTAAACTAAACTGAAAATAAAACTCAAAATACAGGAGCATCTATACAAGATGCTAGTCCAGAAAAAGCTTTCATATTTTAAATTCAGACTACAGTTCTTTTCAGAGTATGCCCTCAGAGCTTAATTTTTAAGTGTTTACCTAAGAAACTGGATTCAAATATTCTTATAAATAGATTAAATAAAAATGAAATAGATGAACTGGAAACATCTGCCTAAAAGTGTGAGCTAAGCAAGTGTCAGGAGGAGGGTCAGCTTGTAGCCTTGTTCTAACTTGTAGCTTACATTCCCACCTATAAATGGGGAATTTTGACTTTTTCTTTAAGAAAAAAATTGGTCCCTGATTTCATCAATAGTCATAGTAACAATTTAAGCAGCATCTGGGTGTAGCTAATATTTTATAATAAAACACTTAAAATAGATGTAAAATGCCTACCAGTTAAAACTGCAGACAACATAACATAATTGCATTAGACAAGCATGCAACAGCTACAGTTTCTAATTCGGACTAGTTTTCTAGTGGTACTTTTGACACTTTTCCATTATAGAGACCTAACTTCCTTGCTACACTTCTCAGATTGCTAGTTTTGGTGTGAAAACAGTAAACATACTATATAAGGTGCTTTTTTTAATTAAATAATGACCCTTTGTTTTTAAAATTAGAATGGTTGATCCTCCTTTCTTATATTTTCATCATAGTTGCTCTTTATATCTACCTGAATATGCATTTAAGTTGAATAGTTATTTCTTTAGCAAATCTGAAAAAATCATGTAACAAGAGAGTTCACCACGTTACCTCCAGTTTGCCATGTGCACACCCTAACAGCAATAGGTTGGCTCTGTCCCTCTCACAGGAAATAGGAGACCAAGGCCATGCTCCGTCACTAGTTGCTGACCACCAGCAAATGATCATATCTTCCATAGAGTTTACTGCCAGGTGACGTTTCATCCTTCTACTTTCTGGTCCAATTATATCAATATAAGAAATCTGATGGAAGAAAAAATGAAGGAAATATTTAAGGTGATAAAATAGCATAGTAGGAGCAATTGGGAGCATTTACTTTGGATGTGTGAAAGAGAATGTATATATACACAGAAGACTCTACATATTTCTTCATATAGGCTGTCTGTAAATGTAAAATATATCTCCTCAGTCAGAAAAAGACATGCTCACACTTTTATCTATGGGGAGGGGATTGGGAAGGAAAGGAATGTGAGTTAAGAAGGAATTTACTGCAATGACTCCAATCAATACCAAAATGTACAGTCATGGTTGCTTGACAGCATCGACCTACACATAGGATTTAAGCTTAGCCACATTAAATGACAAGTTTTGCAAAACTGACCAGGGAGCTACGGCTACTGTTTAAGACACAATGAAATATTAAATATATTCTACAGTGTTTTACCGAACATATCTTTCTCTTTCCTCCCTAAATTAAGGAACCCAGATACAAACATCCGCTTTGCAAGGGAATATATACTTTTCTGCATAATGTGGATGAGCTACAGCATCATGCGTAAAGTTTATGCAGCTCTTGAGATTTGTGCCTCTTTCTCAGGAAGGATTTGTGGAATTTATTATTCAAACTGTTATTTTGGAGCATGGTTATTTGAAAACATGAGCAGTGCACCATCTGGGTGACACATGCCAAGGAAATATAGATTGCACCGCATTTCTGCTTAAGGAATTAATGGAAGGTTGATAGCTAGGGGAAAAAAAAACTATCTTGCCATTGCTGGTCAGCAATAATCGAACCACTTTCTGGGGATTAAGCGCATGGCTAAGCCTACTGGACCAGACACTAGCAAAGGGCAGGGGGTCTTCTTATCAGAGAAATGCTTCTGGAGCCAGTCTCACTACATGACAGATTGCTTTCATATTCCTGTCTGCAAGGCAACAAAGGATGGCAGTAATGCGATAATGCCAGAGTGCAATGGGTGTTAAGAACCCGTTGCATTTATGTATTGTATTTAGTAAATAATCAGGCTCATCCAAATTGTGATCTCACCACTCAACCAAGGCCATTAAAATCAAGGTTAATGCTTTAATAATCCTTTGCTGTTTTTTATATGGTCAAAAAGAACGTTTTTCTATTTGCATGGTCATAATATTATTGACCTCTTCATCCCCTGAATACACATCAAAAGGAACTGAAATCAAAGTAATTACCAATGTTGTTCTCTCATGGTAAACATTTAACTCCTTGTACTGTCTCCTCCTTCAGTAAATTGAAATGGATTAAAAAACCACAGATGGGAAAATTTTGCAAAAGGTCAATATTTTCAGAATATCCTGTGTTTTACTTGTCAAAATACTTAGAAATGTAAAAATAAAACATACATAAAAGTTAACAGGTGGCTGCTACTTGAATTAAAACTATGTATAAATAGTTAATTTGGTGACCTTTATTAAGACAGAAAAACACAAATACTTTCACAGATGTTAATCAGTCCTGTATTACAGTGTTAACTGTTCATAACAATTTTGCATGTAATTAATAGCCACAAATATTTTCTAACCGTTTATGTCTTGCATTAGACACAGCAGTCTCAAACATGGACTAATGCCACTGAGAAAAGGCAAATGGTAATAGTTGGTTTTTTATTTTGCTGGTCTTCAAGGCTGTAGTGATTCATACAATAAGTCTTCCTTTATTTTTTCAAAGTGTAAATAAAACCCAAGGTGGTATCATTCAGAAAGGAAGAGGATAGAGAAAGTAATTCTTCCTTTTACGTATGTATTCTGTAAAAAAAAACCCAACTCTTGGATAAATATCAACCTGCAAGGAGGAAAGTATGGTTGACTTGTTATTATTAATAGCAGTCTGGCAGCCCAGTACTGCCTAGTCTTTCCTGCCAATTCTGCCCACCACGAGGCTGGACACTGAACAATGTGAAGTTGCTTCTGTCCAGGTACCAAAGAAATTACATTAATATGACATTTATTTATATCATTACACATGATTGTAAGCAAGCATTTTCCTTATTTTAGAAATGGGAACTTAAACCCAAATACTACATACATTTCTCGAGGCTACACCAAAAGTCAAAGGCAGAAATTAAGGCTACACTCAAATTTCCTTAATCTTAGCTCCATATTTTAATCCTGTGGTAGTTCTATACCAGTGCATGCTACATTTAAATTCAGTTCATCTTGAAAAAAAAAAAAAGTCAACACTAAGGAACTGGGTTTTTTTTCTAAAGAGTGTTACAAGTTTGCACATTTGCAATCCAGGATCATCTTTTGTTTCTTTTGTTACTACTGATAGCAACACTAGTGTTGACTGTGTCTGTGATCTTTTAGCTTTTGAAAGTTTGACCAAAATCAGCCATGAAGAGCTCTAATTCAATGCAGAGAGCTGACATAATATTATTGCACTAGTGAATAATACTTTCTGCTGGCTCACACTGGTGCAATTTTGAAGATAATAAAAATTATATTTAGCTGCCTTACTAGCAAGCCTCACACAAAAGAACATTCAATTAAAAAATGCAAATACCTTTTTTTGGCTGGCAAAGAAATAATCCATAGTGATTCCCACTGATTTCAAGAGAAAGAAAAGTTAACATTGAACACGGAGGCCTTTCTAGAAGCTCAGCTGTGTCAGCAAAGAACTGAACATAACAACCCTATTAAGGAGTGCGGCAGATATTTCTGGTTTCCTAGGGCATAGAGAGTTTTTTTATGGATTAGGCTTTCCTTCTTCCCCAAGAAAAAAATGCCATGACCATTAGATCCAAAATGTGCCCAGCAATACTCAGAATGAAAATATATTTTCTAAACATAAATTAAGAAGCTATGGCCTTTACAATTAAATGATGAAGGCAGTCTTTAGCTCACCACAGCTTCTTCATTAAAGTTTAGCACTATTAAAAAAAAATAAAACACCACACACCACACTTGCTTCTAAAGCACAGTCTTAACAAACACCATAGGCCAGGCACAAGCGCACATAATTTTAAAGTAAACTACGTATCAGCTCAGTTCCTGGTGAACAGTGAACTGTCTCAAATCCACGTTATAGAGGTTGGATCAATCTCGCAAACACAAGTCATTGCTGAAAAGAGGCCCTGAACTGAAACAGCCTGGAAAATGTATTAGATATTCATCCTAGCAGAAAGTATTTCTACCAAGCAAGTTAAAACGTATTATGGCAAAACTTAAATTAAACACATCCTTAAAAAGCTTGCCTTGCAGATGCAAACTCCCTTATGTGAGGAAATAAATTACTGAGGGGTTGTCAAGGGGAAAATATTTGCTAGCACAAGACTGTTTTCCTTAACATTTATCCAGTCTGAAATAAACACAAACTCTCTCTTTTACTCGCTACATCTTTCTACCTTTCTTGGGCAAAGACTTGTCTCTTCTTCGTTCTTGCAGTGAATTGGATGCAGCCCCTTTTCTACTCTGCCTGCTCAAAGTTAATTGCCTTTGGCTGATTATTTTTTCATACTGTTGTAGCACCAAGCACTTCCACCTAAGGTCAGCAACTGCCCTGATGCCAAAGAGCTTATGGTTGAAATGTTACGTCTACGCAGCCCAATCCATCCAAGATACAGTGTCATTCAGCTTGAGATGAGCTGGTTTCTACTGACATTCAAACCAGCTAGTTTAAAGACAGCTCAGCTATCTCTAGACTACCTTTCAACTACTGCTGTGGTACAGAAGGGCTGGAGAAAAGGAGTATTTTAATCTTCACTGTGTAAGTAATGAATTGAGACACAGAGGCACCAAAAGTCACTTGCCTAAGGTCACATACATAGTTTGTCAGTGGTGGGAAACTCAGATTCTATATCCTGAGTCCTGGCTCAGTGGCTTAATTGTAAACCAACTCTCCCAACAATACCATTACTGTAACTAGAGGGAAAATTAAGATTTCTGCAAAGAATTACAACAGTCTTGGAGCCCAGACAGATGACTGAATTATCATAGCTTCATGAGTTCATGTGTATCAGCTGAGCCATAGTAATTGACCATGTGTGCGTTTTTAGCCCGCAGCAAACAAGAGGTAAAACACATTAGCTTAAATCTTTTACACTGAGGTTTACCATTACAGATTTTGCTTCATGCCTGTTAGATGCTGAGAATGTGCAAAGGGTCAGTTACTGATGCTCAACTGACACAAGGTAATCTGTTAAGCAGGGGTAACTCAACTGTGTGTCTGAGCCCTTAACCTAAATACAGTAGAAAATTGGATCCCTCTTGGCACAGTATTTTAACTCATTAACTCAGAATGGCATGTAATTTTTTTTTGACTTTTCAGTAACTGCCATTTTTAGAATTTGAGCTATTCTGGTCAGTTATATAGATTTGCATTTTATACTGCTATACAATATCAGCAAGTACCAGTGATTGAAGTGTAAAGTTACTGCAGTATTTACTGTCACCATGACATCTATACCTTAAAGTCCAAACAAGAGAGCTTTTCCAGTCTTTTGTTTACATCGGGAGAATCCATCTTCTTTGTAAACTGAATAAAGCAGAGTTGGTTATGGTCCTCAAATGACAAGATGATGAAATTGTCTGTAAGAACAGCTGAAAAACAAATAAAAATTGTCACCACTGTAATACCTGTTTCTAGTAACAAAACAAATTACTGAACCCTCCACTGAGACATTGTAAGATGCAATTTTTTCAAGGCAGCATCTCAGATATTACACTGAAGCCTCTGTAATCTCCTAAAAGACATCAACATGTCACCCTGCCAGGACCTTCTTGGAAATGAGAAATAAAGCCTAGGGAGTACTCCGATTACACAAACCTTAATAAATTATCTCATATCAAGTTACCACTGCATTCAAATATATGGTTTATGCCCTTCCACATTAATTTTCATCTCAGTTCAGCCTTGATTTTTTTTTTCCCTTATGGTAACATCCACCAGTATTTCAGAAATACACCTAATAACAGCATAGCCTGTGTTAAGGATGATAAATGCAAAGCAGTACTTCAGGTATATCTGGTATTTTGGCATTGTAAGGTTCCAGGTGCTGCTGCAGACACCAAGGAAGCTGCTACCAACAGGACTATGCTTTGAGGGGTTATGAATTTGTTCAAAGCTTCACATGGGGGTACCCAAACAATACAGATAACCAAGATGGAACAGACTCCCTTGGAGTCTGGAAAAGTCTGGAAAAGTGCAGTGGAATCCCTGTTGTTATCACAAAGGGGTGCTAGACCAAAATAGTTCAATATAAAAGTGATTAACTAATTTGACAAGGAAAATTAATTAGACAACAGTATCTAGGATTTTTCCCAAGTGATATCCAGTTATTCAAGCAGTACCCACATTTAAAGAGATGTCTCAGAATGAAGTCATCAGGGTAACTAGTACCAGATCACTGAAGAATCTTTAATGAGAATCAGTTTAAAGTAAAGCTAGCAAGCTATTTTCAGAAAGTAAACTCAGAAACCTCTGCTAAAAGGCAAACGCTATGTAAAGTGGAACCGGATTTAAAAACAAATAAACAAAATCCTGCAGAACAATCCCGGGGGGGGGGGGGAAAAAAAAAAAAAAAAA